ATTAAGAGCGCTATTAACAGTTTCCTTAAATAGGCCTCCCGGCCGGCTGACTGTTTTGTCCATTGTTGTATCTTTGTTGTAAAATTCAGTGTGCAAAGTAGTGTCCGATAGCCCGGGGCTAGTGGATTTTGCTATCGGGCTGGTGAATTCTGCAAAATCAATTCTGTTCATCAAAACATTTTGGGGGCTAGTTGAAATGACATTTGGGCTGTAAATGCTGGCTTCAGCTTGCCCCAATGGCAAGCTGTAAAAACGACTTTCTTTGCACCCTGTGTAAAATTATCTTTGAGGAAGAAACTATACTAAAAGGCACAATACTTGTACCTGTCAATATCCTCATGAGTATGATGAACAATAAGGGTGTTTCCATAGACCTATACATGTAAGGAAGAAAATCATTTCTGACTGAGGTACAGGATTGAAGGACTCTTCATATTTTTGCCCTTAAAATAATATTCAACACACTTACATTATGAAATATTTCCGCTGATATAAGGTATGCAAAGAAAACGAGCACTTGTTGTTCAAGGCATTGTCAAATTGGAGGCTTAGATTTCTGGAAAAGGTCCCAGGTGTTGAAGCAGGATTCGGAAGTAAGTGGACCAAAGCACTTAAAATATAGTTGGCATTCTCGCTGTAGCACCCCAGGTTGAGAAATCCCGTCCCTTGTTTAATCTGGTCATTTGATCCTTTAAAGACAAGTCAAGAACACTAACATCAATGTTAATGCATTGATGATTTACATGTATAACATCTATCTAACACTGTCCAAAGGAAGTTTCTAATTGCTGTAATGAGAAATCAAAAATGGACTTCATGTATGGATGAATTAGTATTCGGCTCATGCAAAAATAGATTTTGTATTGTGCTTTTGATTCGTGTTTGTGGGGATCTGAACAAAGATCAACAGGCTCCAAAACTGCCCTTCAAAAAGAAAGTGAGTGAGCTTGCAGGGACAATATTTGTAAAGAACTAGGATTTCAGCAAAAATATATAAAAAATGCAAACAATAATCTCCCTTATTTCTAATTTCACTTATCCTGTAAATACACTTCGTACCTTGTCGATGGCAAATAAAACCCAGAAGGCTACAAGGAATCCTTTGGATAGATTCAAGATCTTTTGCTGCATTTTTTGAATATCGTGGGAGCTTGGTCTTCTCTATATGCATCCCATCATATACAGCAGAAAGTAAATCGTCGGGTTGGTGGACACTGACCACTTGCCTGTAGTAGTAATCCCGCTTTTCAGCCCTACAAAAAGTAAACCAAAAGATTAATATAGTTTTGGCTTATTTGTAGACATATAGTCGAAACAATATGAAGTCTAAGTTGTGCAATATTGAAAACATCATTAAGTCCCGCAAATTAGTTTGTGTGCAAAGTTTGAGCATTTAATGTTAATCTTTTATATTACTCATTTTTTCAGTCCCATATCGGTCTTTGATAATAGTGATACGCAAAACTGTCAACATGATTCACCATGCCCTTTTTTGGAAAAAATTGATGCAACTGGTGATGTCAACAATTTTTAATGTAAGGGCAGGAAAAGAACTTCAATGGGAAAAGTAAAGTTCATTCAAGTGGGCAAAGTGATATTACTAACAGTGGAGTGAAATATTCTAAATATTCCAAATATGCTAAAATTCAAAGACTGAATTATTGTCGGAAGCCATCTGATCATCAGATGTATGACAGCTAGTCTTACATGTACAAGTCCTTGTGTTTTTTCCTCTCATCTTTGAGGGCACTTATTGCTGCAGCATTTTTCCACACTCAAAACACTTCTTTCGTAGGCCCTGGCACTGTGGACATTTTGCACAAATGTGATTCTATCACGGAAGAAGAAACAATAATAACATTAGCGCAATTGTTTATAACAATTTACTAAATAAATGTAACTTATAAAATCTGTATCTAGCCATAAGAAAAGGGAGAACGGTACATTATGAGATATAAAGTCAACCTCTTAAAACAGCTTCATGGCAGAGAGATAGAAAAATTTTTTTATGTTTGATTTTTCGAAGAGACAGAACTAATGCCAAATGCTTACCATTCTGGGTCAGAGTAAATTGTGACAATACTAAGTCAGTTGGAATTTATATATTCTGAAAATGAATTAGAAACGCCTTATATCATGGAGAAACTTCCATCACATCAAATTAACAATAAGACAAACCTTTGTTGGGATCTTAACACTGCTACCCCATAACTTATATGGACAACCTCCCTGGCTTTTCGGCAAACACTTCTTTCTTTGATTTTACATGTAAATGTAAAATATCTGCATGGGGCATGGGCTCACTAAAAGTTTCCAAATAAATATGGAGCCAAGCATCAGCCTGAATTGTTTCCACGGACTTTGTGTGATGATAAAAGTTGTTCCCATGAAAAATGACTTTTCCACCAACGTAAAAGTTTACATTACAGTCAAGCAAGAGGAAGGGCTGCACCCATTTATGATTTTATTAATGCTCTATGTGATTATTTCACGCTGTCAG